GATAGAACAACAGCCCTGGAAACTCTTTTTGAATGCATCACTAAATTTGGAAAATTGTACACAAAGGTGATGTGAAATTAACCGACACTCTAGATACATCTTGCCATTCTTTAGAATTTAACAATATGTTTGACTTGGGATTACTACTGAAATAAATCACATTGAAAATTTTAAAAGTCGAATAACAGTATAGTTTGAATTTAAAAGTGTTAAACTACCTATACGTACTTGTTTTCCTAGATTTCGACTTAAGGACAATGAATTTGAAAACTCTTTTATAGTTCAAGGACACATAATTAATTTGGAAAATTGTACATAAGGAGTGTACCTTTAATTGCTTAGGCTTAATAGACACTTCAAATAGTGGACTGTTCTTTAGAGGCCCCCCTTCCATTTTTTTATTTAAAGTAGGATGTACACAAGGTTTTGCTCTTTAGAAGTGACAATTTTTTCTTTGTTTAGAATATCTTTGTTTAAGCATACATTTCATATTTTTTAGGTAGTAGGAAAATCTTGTGCCAACTCGATCATTTCCTCGACATGTGAAGATTAAACTGATTTGTCGAGAAATGCAAATAGGGTCGGGACTATAGCTACAAGCTACTCACACTGTGGTGTAATCAAGCTACGGATCAAATTAATTTACATGTATAATAATCATTGATGAGTGAGGAAACCAATTGAATTGTTTCACCTAAATTGATGGACAGTATGTCTAATTTTCCTAGTGCAATTTTGACTACTTATTCTCAGAAGTCAACTCCATGGATTTGCTTTTTCTAAGTCTCCAAAGAAAATTCTAATATTGGATTCTTTCTTTGCTTTGCTGGATTCACAAAAAACTTTGATTTCCTAGTTTTATACTTTCTTTTAGCTCAGTTTCTCAGACAGCCACCAAAATGGGACCCTCCCAAAATAAAATGAAAATAAAATAAAATGTTCGTTGAAAATAAATAATAATAATAAATCTTTTCAGTCACTTCCAGAATCTCGACCATAATTTTCTTCCACCTTTTGTGGCGTGTCAAATGGGCAGGTAACAGTACTTTTCATAATGTTGTTTAAGAATGAAAAAAGGAAAATTTTAAGAAAAATCTTGAAAATGTTTGTGTAATTTTATTGAAAATATATCATCCAATTATTCCATTTTACGAAATATATATACCATCTTTTGTCATGACTTTTTTTTTATTTATGATTGTTTAATTACTGCAGATTATTTTTTATTTGTAGAATGCAACCTTACTATCGAGTATTGCTCTTTGTAATTTCAAAAAATATTTAATTTAAAGTGATACAAATTCTCTTAATCCTAGAATAAAATCCAAATTTTTATTCCATTATATATATAATTTTAAATAACACTAATTATGTAGTTTCAAAATGAATCTAAAAATACAATGGGACAAATATTTTACCTGACTCCCGTCCTAGGAAAAATGAAAATCCTTATTTTTTCCGTGATATTTGGTGGAGTAATATAATATAAATTCGCATCGAAATTAGGTCTGTTTGAGCCACATTATTTCAAAAAATACATTCTTAAACAGTGATTTGACATCATTTCAATCACACATTCTTCAATAAAATAATATTACACGCAGATAAAAAACTTTTCCTTATTTTTTAACCACACATTTCTCATCAATACACTATTCAAAAATACATTATTACCAAAATAACGTGGCTCAAACATCCCCTAAATTTCCGCTTTTCACTTGAAAGTATAATTAGGCTATAATGGTTTGGTTCTTGGATCTTAGCCTCAAAACTAGTTAAACTTTAACTGAGATCGAACCAATTTGAACTGATCGTTTTCGTTTGATTAGTTATATGCATCTCACATAAAAATATCGCATAATGAGATGGTCAATACTTCTTATTATCAAATCTATCCAACCATTTTATTCTATTCCCATTATTTAATTTTAAAAACATAATAATCATATTGAATGATGTATTTATCTCCAATAGTTTTTAAATAGAAAAGGGCGTGTTCTTCTTTGTTAAATCTCGCAAATAGTTATTTAAACAGGTAAATGCAAAATATTTTAAGACATAATCATTGGACTAACTTCAATTTGGTCTATGACTCTATGCAACGTGCGGAATGTGTCTAAGATTATATCAAATGGTCCTTATTAATCTATTACTAATTACCGTTAATTATAATACAATTACATTTAGGACATAATTACGTAGCATTGTGATCACTAATAGCAATTATTTGGAGTAGAATTTACGTTTATCCTAGAACAAGTGCACATCATTAGATGTATATATTTTGAGCATGCAACATTATTGAGGAGTCAAGATATTTAATTTGGTTTAGGCTTCTCTAAATATTAATTTCAACATTTAGCGCCCCCAAGGCATATCTCCAAGTGGTAAAAGGGGAAGGTGGAGAAATTCAGCTTTGCTTGAGACTGCCGCGTCAAGGGTTCGAATCCTAAAATATGGATTTGGCTCTTGGGTAAGTGTAAGTGTACAAGCAATCTTCCACCCTGTACCCTTGGAGGCATAACCTGCGATTTACCTTCCTTACGATGCTCCAGGATAGGGGCAGTGGAGGACCCTTAAGGTTGGGGTTCAACCTTTTTTTAATTTCAACATTTAGGACGTGGTTGGTACGTAGACATCGTTTGAGAATGTCAACATTTTTAAGATTTCGTTATCCATGACGTAAAACTAGATAACAACACTATGCAAAGATAAAATAAAACTTGTGAACTTTTTCTTTCTTTCTTAATAAGTAGTTT